AATGAAAGTTTTATGTCAATAGTTTTTTTCTCAATAATTGGATTGATAATTGGATTTTCCAATCCAACCCAACAATTATTATACATCGTTTTAAAGAGAAAGCTTTGAGCTTTAATTTAGAACAAGTCTTATACATGAATTTCAATAAATACGGCTTCCAGGAATTTTTAAATTAGCATCTTTTTTGACACTTAGGTTATACGAAAATGTAAGTTTTCTTTCAACATTTTTTTTCTCTATATTTTTCCAATCCAACCCAACAATTATTAAACATCGTTTTAAAGAGAAAGCTTTGAGCTTTAATATAGAACAAGTCTCATTCCTTAATTTCAATAAATATGGCTTCCAGGAATTTTTAAATTACCATCTTTTTTGACACTTCTAGGTTACACGCAAATGTAAGTTTTATTTCAACATTTTTTTTCTCGATATTTTTCCAATCCAACCCAACAATTATTAAACACCGTTTTAAAGAGAAAGCTTTGAGCTTTAATATAGAACAAGTCTCATTCCTTAATTTCAATAAATACGGCTTCCAGGAATTTTTAAATTAGCATCTTTTTTTGACACTTTGTGATTATACGAAAATGTAAGTTTATTTCAAGATTTTTTTTCTCAATATTTTTCCAATCCAACCCAACAATTATTATACATCATTTTAAAGAGAAAGCTTTGAGCTTTAATTTAGAATAAGTTTCATTCCTTAATTTCAATAAATACGGCTTCCAGGAATTTTTAAATTAGCATCTTTTTTGACACTTTTAGGTTATACGAAAATGTAAGCTTTGTTTTAACATTTTTTTCTCAATATTTTTCCAATCCAACCCAACAATTATTATACATCATTTTAAAGAGAAAGCTTTGAGCTTTAATTTAGAATAAGTCTCATTCCTTAATTTCAATAAATACGGCTTCCAGGAATTTTTAAATTAGCATCTTTTTTGACACTTTTAGGTTATACGAAAATGTAAGTTTTGTTTCAACATTTTTTTTCTCAATATTTTTCCAATCCAACCCAACAATTATTATACATCATTTTAAAGAGAAAGCTTTGAGCTTTAATTTAGAATAAGTCTCATTCCTTAATTTCAATAAATACGGCTTCCAGGAATTTTTAAATTAGCATCTTTTTTGACACTTTTAGGTTATACGAAAATGTAAGTTTTGTTTCAACATTTTTTTTCTCAATATTTTTCCAATCCAACCCAACAATTATTATACATCATTTTAAAGAGAAAGCTTTGAGCTTTAATTTAGAACAAGTCTCATTCCTTAATTTCAATAAATACGACTTCCAGGATTTTTTAAATTAGCATCTTTTTTGACACTTAGATTATGCGAAAATGTTAGTTTTTGCTCAATATTCTATCAGATTTCCGTCGTTCTGTAGCTAGTCTGATAAATAAATATTCAAATTTACTGTGTCGTAAGTGTATTTTAATAGCGTTTTAATTCTGTCACAAAGTTTCAAAATTTTTTAACCATGTTTCTGAGATTAGTGCAATATCGATGTTAAAATCATGAAGTTTTTTTTCTTACAAAGAGAAAAGACTAGTCTGTAGTAATGAATCATTGGAGGTGTAATAACTGCTTAGCAACTGGAAGAGATGAAGTAAGCTGTGCAAGTTAAATTAATAAATGAAATTTTGTAATCAAGTTGGATTGGGTTAATAGAAATCAATAAATTAAATTGTCTTTAATAAACGATATAACGTTATTTAATATTAATTTTGAAGAAAATAAGAAAATTTCTTATTGCTAATAGTAATAATTCGTATTGATTTTCTGAATTAATGTTTAGCTAGAATTTTTTTGATTGCTTATTAGCGTTTCGTATCTATTGACGAAAGCAACCCACGGGGGCAACCTTATTTTTAAACCTAAGGCCACTCAATCGATAGCTATCTCCCCTGCTCAAGTGCTAATTTCGTCCGGATAAAGGAACCGGTACGTGCGCTAACACGAAGGTCGATCGTCATCGTACTCACCGAAAAAAGAAAGAAGTTTTTCGATTCACATGCTCAAACATGTCATGCCGTGCAACGTCGTACTGTTCAGTTTAAACTCCAAAACCACAACACAGCTATGTTCGTCGTTAATTGCATCAAGGAACACTGTTTGTATTCTCTCAGTAATTGACTCTAATGAACCGAAACTAACATGTCCCACACAAAATCTGTCTACCATCTCCGAGTCTTCGGGTCGTGCATTGCATAACCTACTTATATCCTTAGACAGAAACTTTACTTCCTGTAAAGTAAAGTAACCTTCGTTTACGTCCGAGTCTTGGGGGACAACAAGTAGATCGCAAATGCAAATTTCGAAATACTTTACGGCTTTAATGTCACCATAACGGCGATAAAGCCACCCTACGCGAACGGTTTGTTTAACGCCTATCCCTTTTGTCGTAAACGTATGCGATGTCGTTTCGTGACGGGAAACGACGTTCGCGGTTTGATAGCGAACCCAAATCGGGTTTATTTGACCAACTCTGGTCATGGCTTATGCAGATGAAGCCTTTCGGTCAACATAAATCTAATTCTGAACTAAAATAAATAAACCCTAACGGAAGAGAGCGGGAAGTTAGCCCCCCATTTTTAAATATTTCATTGTTCTAAATTGTTCTAGAGTACAAATATATACTTATTATACCTAAAGTAATCTCGAACAGCTATTATTTGCAATAAAATAATTCTATAAAGTCGTTAATATTATTACTTCCCATCTTGTTAGAATAATTAGGTGAATAAAGAACTTTGTTTTTGAGATGGATAAATTTTATTTTCGGTTCAACCGGTTTCAACTATTTTTAGTCATCTTCAGTTTTCTTAAATTCTTTGTTGTTAATTATTGTCAAAAATGTTTCTAATTTTGTGTGGTACCTTCTTTTTATGTTATTCACAACGAATAACTAATAAATATATCTCTGTGTCCCATCCACACAGAGATATATTTATATATACTATACATATATTTATTATACATTTATATACCTTGCTCAAAAAAATTAAGGGTAAGCCCTCCACTTGTTCTCAGCAGAAAATTTCATACAAAAGCTGTTCTAAATTATATTCTAAAACGATTTTCTCAATAAAAAATATATATATAAAAAAAAATTTGAGGTTATGTTCTTAATTATTGATCAAATCAAAAATTTTTATTAAAAATATTTGTTTAGAATTACTTCAGGAACAGTGTTTGTTAATACAATTTTTTGCTAACTTGAAATTTTAATTTCCCTCTGAATAGTATGCTATCAAAATTAATTATCTCAACAATTATTGTTTTTATTAAAAAATGTTTTAAATAAAATTTGTTTCAATTTCGATTTTGAATCAATTATCTTAATAAAAAATTTTTACATCTCTATTAATTAAGCATCTAAGTATAATTATGTATAAAAACGGAAAAATTATTATTTTGAGGTTATCTCCTTAATTATTGATTAAATCAAAAAAAATTGTTGACAAAGTTTGTTTAGAATTGTTTCAGGAACAATTTTTGTTAACACAATTTTTTTCTAACTTGAAATTTTAATTTCCCACTGAACAGTATGCTACAAAAATTAATATTTTTGAGGTTATATCCTTATTGTTGATTTAATCAAAAAATGTTGTTAACAAAATTTGTTTAGAATTACTTCAGGAACAGTGTTTGTTAATAAAATTTTTTGCTAACTTGAAATTTTAATTTCCCTCTGAATAGTATGCTATCAAAATTAATTATCTCGATAATTATTGTTTTTCTCAAAAAATGTTTTAAATAAAAGTTGTTTCAATTTCGATTTTGAATCAATTATCTTAATAAAATTTTTTTATATCTCTATTAATTAAGCATCTAAGTGTAATAATGTATAAAAATTTAAAAGTTATTATTTTGAGGTTATCTCCTTAATTATTGATTAAATCAAAAAAAAAATGTTGATAAAGTTTGTTTAGAATTGTTTCAGGAACAATATTTGTTAACATAATTTTTTCTAACTTGAAATTTTAATTTCCCTCTGAATAGTATGCTACAAAAATTAATATTTTTGAGATTATATCCTTATTGTTGATTTAATCAAAAAATGATAACAAAATTTCTTTAGAGTTACTTCAGAAATAGTGTTTGTTAATATAATTTTTTGCTAACTTGAAATTTTAATTTCCCTCTGAATAGTATGCTGTCAAAAAATTAATTATCTCGATAATTATTGTTTTTCTCAAAAAATGTTTTAAATAAAAGTTGTTTCAATTTCGATTTTGAATCAATTATCTTAATAAAAAAATTTTTACATCTCTATTAATTAAGCACCTAAGTGTAATTATATATAAAAATTTAAAAATTATTGTTTTGAGGTTATCTCCTTAATTATTGATTAAATCAAAAAAAAATGTTGACAAAGTTTGTTTAGAATTGTTTCAGGAACAATTTTTGTTAACACAATTTTTTTCTAACTTGAAATTTTAATTTCCCACTGAATAGTATGCTACAAAAATTAATATTTTTGAGGTTATATCCTTATTGTTGATTTAATCAAAAAATTTTGTTAACAAAATTTGTTTAGAATTACTTCAGGAACAGTGTTTGTTAATACAATTTTTTGCTAACTTGAAATTTTAATTTCCCTCTGAATAGTATGCTATCAAAATTAATTATCTCAATAATTATTGTTTTTATCAAAAAATGTTTTAAATAAAATTTGTTTCAATTTCGATTTTGAATCAATTATCTTAATAAAAAATTTTTACATCTCTATTAATTAACCATCTAAGTATAATTATGTATAAAAACGGAAAAATTATTATTTTGAGGTTATCTCCTTAATTATTGATTAAATCAAAAAAAATGTTGACAAAGTTTGTTTAGAATTGTTTCAGGAACAATTTTTGTTAACACAATTTTTTTCTAACTTGAAATTTTAATTTCCCACTGAACAGTATGCTGTTCTTTTAATCAAGATTTTCTGAGAACGAGTGGAGGGGGGAAATCGTATCGTTTTGTTACAAAAGTTCCGTGCCCTGTTAATTAATTAATTGATTTACTTTTCTTTATTTTCCTCCATTAATTTGGCGGCTTCTTTTTGCAAATTTAATATTAACGATTTTAAAGCTAAAGGATCATCTTTTCTTAAACTGAACCCAACGTTCTTTAAAATTAATAAAATGCATTCGATTGATTTTTCGTTGAATCTTTCAGCAAATTTTTTGAGGATATCGTAAATAAGACCCGCATCGAAAACCTGCAATAAAAAAGACTTTTTTTATACAAATTTAAATTAATTTAATGAATTACCTTAAAATTGTATAATTGAGCGATTATTATAACAACATTATCCAAAGTTTTATCTTCAACTTCCTGCGGCGAATTAAATAAATCATCGAATAACTTTACGATTTCTTGTAAAAAGTGGGCACCTATTACCATAAAACTTTTAGTATAATTCAAGAATCATCAAGTCGCTTAAAAATCGACATTTTTTTTTTAATCGATGGGAAATCACTTAAGTTAGCCTTTACAAATTAAAAAAAAGTGCGGAAAAGTGTAAAACTTACGGAAAAATCACTTTAAAGTTTCGACGTGACGTCACTAAGCCTAGGACCATACCATACCACCACGGGATTTAATGGTGAAAAATATTTTTTGGCCAAAGGTAGTAGCTGCATATCTTAAGAATAGAACATTAGCAAATACTATAGAAAAGAAAACGCCTTACGACATAATGTTTGGAAAAAACCCTACTATTAAATATTTACGTCTATTAGTTAAGAAGATCTAAATGGTATAAAAAGGCTGATTTGAGAATTTTGCTGGGTAATACTGAAGTTGAGTATAAAGTTTTAGTAAATAACAGAATCATTGTAGCTAGACATGTTGGCGTTGTGGAGAAGAATGCTAAAAGCATAGGTTTAGATAGAAACAGAATTGACAAAGAAATTGAAACTGATTCTGAAATACAAGATGAGAGTACAGAAATTAAATTCGAAAATAAAACAAAAACAAAGTACGCCTCAAGAATTGAGAAGATCGAAGAGAGAAAAGAAAATGCCAGCAAGATATGATGATAGTTACGTTTATTGTAACGTTTGCAATATAGATAATTTTGAGGAGGAAATAAATAGTAATTAGGCAGAACAGGGGAAAGTAACTATGAATTAGTTAAAAAAACCAGAGAATAAAAAAAGTTTGATGTTAAATGGGTATATCGAATGTTGCTAGTTTTAATTTCTTTAATTTCTGGTTTAGCCGTGCTTCTGAAGAGTTAATGTTAGTTCTACAACGCTTTTAATCAATGAAAATAAGATAAGTAGGAAATATTTATCAATATCTTTACTATAACAACATAAACGTGTGCTGAACAGTAACAGTGAGATGATTGTGGCTGTCCAAATATACTTATTAAGTCGACCGAAATTACATCTTTTATACATTTCAAATGAAATAGGCTTAGTTTCATGGCGCAACATACTATCCATCAGGTTTACGAGGCAAGAAAATGTTTGAATTTACACTGCCCAAGTTCTAATCAACAACAAACTAGACAGAATTATATTGGCACAATTTGATGTTTCAAAATAGCGTCTAAAAGTACGCTGGCCAAATTCTAAACCTCAGACAAAATTTGTAATCACACTGACGCAAATATAAACACTTTAGCACTGATTAGTAGTATTTTGACACTCCCCAATAAGCTTTTTCTGTTTATTGGTAGCTTTGAAACACTTCCCCAAACATACTTCCATCCTGGTTAGCTATCCTAGATATGTTTCGATCGATTCGTATCGTTTTGACACGCACTAATACGTTTTTTCCATTTTCTGGAATCTTTGGAATAGTTGCAAAAAGATCAAAAATAATTTTTCTAGTTCTTTCATCTTCGTTAAGTATCCCGAGGTTGTTTCTAATCGATTAGAACCATTTTAACTCGCACCAATCACCTTATCTCATATTCAATAATTTTTGAATTTGCTGTAAATAATTCCTTTTGATATTATTAAGTCGTTTCATCTTTGTCTAATATCCTGAGAGCGCTTTCAACCGATTAGTACCATTTTGACGCACACTAACAAGCTTTTTCTATTTTTTGACATATTTCAAATACTTCCAAAAAATGTCAAAATTTTGAAATATCACTATGTTGTGTATTTTTATTGAACTAAAACTTTCAGTTGTCAATGTCAACTTTAATTTTATTATTATATTCGTAATCTTCATAAAATAACCTTTAAAGTCAGTCCAAACTTGACGCATTTATCTCAAAAAACCAAAAAGTTCGAACTTTCAACTTTTAATTTTGACATATTTGTCAACTTCACAAAAAATCCTTTAAAATGAGTCCAAATTCGACATATTTACCTTTAATATTAATGGAAATACAATCACTTCCGGTTTGAAACGTCAACGTCAATTTTGACATATTTGTTATCTTCATTAAAAAACCTTTAAAATGAGTCCAAAGATGACGCACTTATCTCAAAAAACAAAAAAGTTGGAATAAAAAACATTAAACCCTAAGTTGGCAGCAATTTAATAGCAATTTAATTTTTAAATATTAATACCAACCTTAATTTTTTATTTTTTTTTTGTTATATTTTTGTTTTTGTGACAAATACTAAGACTTTTATAAAAATTAAGAATATGCCAAAATGACATTGACATTTCAAACCGGAAGTTGCTTATATCTCGAGTAATATTGGAATTAAACGCATCATGTTTGGACTCATTTTAATTTACGACGATTACAAAGTGTTAGTCACTTTTCCTATTCCACTTTTCATATTTGTCAACTTCATAAAAAATCCTTTAAAATGAGTCCAAACTCGACATATTTAACTTTAATATTAATGGAAATACAATCACTTCCGGTTTGAAACGTCAACGTCAATTTTGACATATTTGTCATCTTCATTAAAAAACCTTTAAAATGAGTCCAAAGATGACGCACTTATCTCAAAAAACAAAAAAGTTAGAATAAAAAACGTTAAACCCGAAGTTAGCAACAATGAAGATAGCAATTTAATTTTTAAATATTAATACCAACCTTAATTTTTTATTATATTTTTGTTTTTGTGGCAAATATTAAGACATTTTATAAAAATTAAGAATATGTCAAAATGGCATTGATATTTCAAACCGGAAGTTGCTTATATCTCAAGTAATATTGGAATTAAATGTATCATGTTTGGACTTATTTTAGAGGATTTTTCACGACGATTACAAATATGTCAAAATTGACGTTGACATTCTTAACCGGAAGTTGACCATAACTTCATTAATATTGAAAATAAATATGTCGTGTTTGTACTCATTTTAAAGGATTTTTAATGAAGATTACAAATATGTCAAAATTGAGGTTGACATTTTAAACCTGAAGTTAGTTATTATATAATAGAAGTTTTATAAGTGAAGTTAATCTAGTGTTAGTCACTTTTCCGCACTTTCTTTTTATTTTTACCGTGTTTTTTGAGTCGTATCATATTGATTAAAAAAATCGTTCATTTTTAAGCCACATGATGATACTTGAATTTTTCTTTTTATATTTTCTATTAATTAATTTAATTAAGTGAGGTTGTGTTTCATAAACGTCAAAAATTTAACATGACATAACCTCAATTATATTTTTCTTACAAACTTCAGTTCCTACATTAGCATGTAAAATAATAATCAACATAACATGCTCTAAAAGTAATCTTTTTGGAGTAAAAACGTGTGTAGCTAAAGAATTTACAATATCACGGTTATAATTTATATTAATTAATTTAATTAAGTGAGGTTATGTTTCATAAACGTCAAAAATTTGACATGACATAACTTTAATTACATTTTTCTTACCAACTTCAGTTCCTACATTAGCATGTAAAATACTAATCAACATAACATGCTCCAAAAGTAACCTTTCTGGGGTAAAAACGTGCGTAGCTAAAGAATTTACAATTAAATTCGTAATAGTCTCGTTCATATCATTCCTACTATTCGCCATGTAAAGTTCTTCGATTTGATTTGAAATGCTGTGCATGTTCGCCTCTGCAAGTCGATTTAAAAGCCCTTTAAGTTGCTTTGTTAATCGAGCTAATCGTTCTTTTCTTTGAGAATCATTTAAGGAATCTTGTTTTCTTAAAGCTGGTGGAATATATTTTGAAGGTTTAATTGATTCTTCGTTTAATATTGAACCATCTTTGCTTCTTAGTCGACCGTAAATATCTTCCCAAGTTCCAATTTTCGATTTATTTTCTTCATCATCATTAATTTCATCAATATCATCAAGATTTTTATCTTCAGAATCTTGTAAATCATCTTTAGAATCTTGCAAATCATCTAAAGAAGCTTCAAAATCATCTAAATCATCTTCAGAATCTTGTAAATCATCTAAATCATCTTTAGAATCTTGTAAATCATCTAAATCATCTTTAGAATCTTGTAAATCATCTAAATCATCTTCAGAATCTTGTAAATCATCTTCAAGATCACTAAAATTATCGAAATCGTCTTTTTTAACTTTTTGTTTTTTAATTTTTTTGCCTGTCATTAATTCAAAATCTTCTTCAAAGTCATCATTGGCTTCTTTGAATTGTTGTTCGGCTGAGATGGCGTTTTTCATCTCACCATCGCATATTTCTAAAAGATCTATGATTGTTAATAAAAATATTATTAATTTATTGCTAAACTAAGCTGGGTTAAAGGATACAATCTAATCCTTCCGATACAAACGATTTAGGAATCGCCTTTGTTTTCCTTTTATTTAATTTTAATTGCTTTTCAAGTCTTTTAATGTTCCGATCCTCCTCGATATTAGCATCTTGAAGTTGCCGATTTCGTTGCTTGCTCATCTCTTTTTTTAGTTTATCTTGTTTGATTCGATCTTTTTGTATCTCTTTAAATTTATCATATTGAATAGGTTTTTCTTTGAATTCTTGTTTCTGTGCTTTAAAGTTTTTATCAACATTTTTATCCAAAATTGGTTCATTTCCTTTTATTTTTTCCACATTTTTTCGATTCGTGTAATATTCCTGCTTTTTCTGCTTCTTTAATTTTCGACCTGCTTTTCTAATTTCTTTTCTTGATTTGGAACCATTTAAAGTTTTTGATTTTACTTTTGACATGTTTACATCTGATTCTTAACCATGTGGTTAAGGTTGGTAATACAGAGCGCTTTCTTAAAGTATAGAGGGATTAAAATATGAATAGGTGGTTTTACAATAATTTTATTTAATAATTAATTTATTTTATTCCTTATCTTATAACAAATTTAATTAATGCAATTAATTAATTTAAAAATAAGCTTATGTGGTGGAAAGAAAAATCAATTTAATGACAGTTAAATAGTTCAACAGTAAACTTTTAGATGGCGCTTTATTTTATTTTATCCTAATTTTATCCCAACAAAGTTGAACCCATATCGTCTTATACAGAAATATATTTACTTTAATTCTACGAATTTAGTTATAAAGCAGTAAATGTATCTCGTAAAGAAAATTTGATTATTTCTTAACCCCAAAACTGTTAAGTTAGGTTAAATTTAGAAAGCGTCAATGACGTCACATCTACCATTCAAACGAACCAATCACATTTTTAATCCAATATTAAGAAATAAAAAGATTTATTTATTTCCTTTTTAAAGTTTGAAGCAACTTTAAGTATATTTCAATAATAACATGCAATTATTAATAAAAATTGAGAATTATTTATTTAAGTGATGCGCAATTAGCTGAGATGAGCCTCGTTGCCATGGTGACGAAGCGAATCCAATACAAATAAACAAAGCGTTATCGAGAAAAACATTAATTTTGAATTTAAAATTAATTAATAACATTTTATTCATAAAGTAAACACAACAAAACTGTTTGTTGCATAAATTTGTTAACATCAATATTTATTTCAGGTGAGTAAACATCACTTAACGCTTTGGGGTTTAGTTTGATTTATAACTTTTAACATAACCTCAAACAGGATAAAGTTGATTTAGGGCCTCAATTTATAATCAAATAATTTTTAAATAATCTTTATAGAGAAAACTGTCGAAACACACTACGAGGAAAGGAATTAAGATAAATATGGGGTGAAGAATATCAAATGAGACATGTTACAAAGATCCAACTTAGCTGCGATAACAAAATTATTGGAATGGAATTAAGCTGGAAATATTACGAGGTACGCTTTTCTTGACTGGGTGTTAGAATTCCTTTTTTTTAACAAAATCATTTCGATTTTGACACCTTCAACTTAAAATTGTGGATATAGATGATCTTATTACCATATAAGTGGCCAAATAATCATGTTGTGATGAAATTTTATTCAACGCTCGATGAAGTTTGATTTCTGATTTTAGATTTATTATTTTCTTGGTCTACTTCTGCACTATGCTGCAAGGTTGAGAGTGTAATAACTGTTTTCTTGTGTTTAGGGGTTTTCTTTGTTGCGAAAAACTAACAACTTCTTAACTCTCCATCACTGTTCCCTTCTAATTAACAAGGATCATGTGGAACATGTTAAAAAATAGAAATTTGATATGAATTAAAATAATTTTTTAAAGTGAGGTTATGTCTGTTTTGTAAATGACAAAATTTGGGTAAACATAACCTATAACAATGAAGATTTATTTTAAAGGTTTAAATCTAAAGTTATAGCAGATATTTTTTCTTATCAACTTCAATTCTAACATTACCACATAAAATAATAATCAATATAACATGTAAAAGCTCTTCTGGAGTAAAAACAAAGTATTTCTAACCTTAAAAGGAGGAAATAATAGGAATTCTATTAATTTTGGGATAATAAAAATGAAAGTTTAACTATTATTTACTTTTAATGCACCAATATTATTACTTCAATGATACAACAAAAAAAAAATATAAATTTACAGTTACAAAATAAGATTTTTGTGTTTAATATCTTTTCAAACTGAATACAATAAGCAAAACTAAATCTAAACTATTATTGTACATTAAAAGAAATCTATTTCCAATTTTGTTCCAAAGCTTGATGTACATATTTCCTATGATATATTTAATTTTCTTTTTGTTCATGAACACAATGCTTTGTTTGTTGTATTATTTTAATTACATACAAGAAAATTATCAAAAATAGAAGTGTTTTTTTCGTTCTATTGCAGTCGTAATTCAAATAACCCAATTATTAAACAAAAATTAGTTTAAATTTTCAAATTTAATTCACTTTGATGAATAATAATTATGTCATTATTTGGTTTTGGCAGCCCAATTGTGCAATTTGCCTTATTTTTTTTTGTAATTTATTTAAGATAAAGTAAAAAAACCACTTATTATAAAACACTTAATATACACTATACAACAATTTTACAGATCTACTAATACAATAACTCGCTTTAAAAAATTATTGGTTACTTATTTATATGTTCATTTATATATTAAATACGTTTTCTTTTTATTTATTACATAACTTGCGCGATTTATCAAGAAAAATTAAAAAATAAAACGCGAAATATTGCTTTTAAATATTGTTAAGAAAGGAAAATACAAAAATAAATTTCTTTAAATAAATAAAATTGTTGAATCCGCCCTTTTTATATATCTATATATTATTAATTTTTATTATTTGAGGATTATTCTAAGCTTGGGATATAAATAGAGTCGTTTTAAATCTTACCTAGTTACAATTAAAAAACACTCCATTAAAATCCCAATTTTATTAATTTTTTATCAAACAAAATTTTTAACCAATATTTTCGAGATAAATAATATAATCGGTACCTCGGGGGGCAATCAAGAGAACAATGAACTTACTAGCATATAAATCAATATCAGCACCAATGGGGCTACATAGAAAAACACCGTGTTTTGGGAACGATCGCATTCTGCTTTATATCGTTCTCTTAGTTCTTTAATTTCTTTATTTAAAACCAATTTTTCTTCATTAACATCTGCAAATTTCTCTTTTAATTTCACCAATTCCTCTTCTAAACACAATACATGCTCAATCGTTTTCGAATAGTCATTAGATCTTTTTTCTAAATTATTTTCTGATTTCTTCTCCAATTTCGTTTCTAAATTCATTTCCTCTTTACTTTTTAATTCTTCACAAACAACGTTTAACTTATCCTTTAATTGTTGCGATTCATTACAAGCCTCTTTCAATTTTTCCATATTAACACTAAGCGTTACTTTCAACTCATCCATTTCGTTCGATTTTCCGAGACAAATCATTTTTTCCGCTTTTAATTCTTCTTCGAGCGAAGTTATTTTAAATTTATTTTTAACCAATAATTGTTCTAAATTTTCAATTTGTTTTTTCAATTCGTTTTGGGCGGTTTGAAACTGATATTTTAAAGTTTTTGAGTAAACGTTTTTGAATCGTTCTTTTTCCCACGCGGTTTCTTCGTTATCGTTATTAAAATCGTCTTCGATTTCTTCTTCTTCTTCGTCAACATCCACATCGGCCGTTGTGCCGCTATCTTGTCTCATTAAATCTTTATCGTAATCAATTGAATCTTGGTCATCGGAAGAACCAGCACTGATTAGGGTTACAAAAGAGGCCTCTGTTTCATCGGAAGCGTTGCTTAAATCTTCGTGGGTATCCCACTCCATCATTGTATTTTCCGATTCCGGTAATTTCTCTTCGAAATGAACTTTTACTTCACCCTCATCGTTCGCATACTACCGAAACAATAATTAATTATATTCTATTTTTTTTTTTAATTCGGAGGAGTGTTTTCAAATTTGGGCTAAACCCGAATTATTCTAGTTCTAGGTCTTGTGTTAGTTCTAGTGGTAGTGCTAGTGTAAAAGTAATTATATTATATCAAGGAAAAGGAAACGTTTCATATTATTTCCAATATTATTTGAGATATCAACCATATTGGTGTAACTCAAAATAGTACTAATATCTACCAGACAGCATGAAAATCATTAAAAACGATCAAATGTCGCTTAGTCAAGTAATGATATCAAAATTACCAACAACTTAATGAAATATATCATCATATTGAAATAGAAGAAATTATCTTGAATGCCAAAAAACATGATATAATAATTATAGAGGAGATAAAGAAAAGAAAATATAAAAAAACTAAACAAATTAAGAGAAGAAAAGAATAAAAAAGAACAGAACAAGGATAATCAACGAAATACCCATTCATTTCATCCAAGAGTTACAAATATATCGAACATTAGCAAACAGATTTAACAGGTAATTATAAAGGAGAAAAAAAGCATGGAGCATCACAGAAAGAAGAAAGATAAGGAAACAGAGTTAATGAACAAGAGTATTAGAATGTTACAGAAGAAGATAGTAGAAAATAAACTCATAATAACACCTGGAGATAAAAATTCAGGATTAATAATTATGAATAAAGAAAAAACGGAAGAATTCCTTAAAGAGAACAAGTTTGAAATAATTAAAAAAGATCCTAAACACCAAAACTTTGTTCCCTGCCCAAAATACACAAGGTCAACATACCCATCAGACCCATAATCAGTTCCATTGACTCCAGCACCTATATACTTTCCAAAACAATACTAAAATTCTTTAACAGCTATATAAAATTCCTTCCTAAACACACAATCAAAAATAGAAACCATTTACCCGAAATGATTAACAAACTGAGTCTTCCTGAGTCATTCAAGATGATTTCATTCGACATAACTAACCTCTACACAAACATACCTATATTGGAAACTTTGGAAATAATGAAGAGTAAAATAAACAAAAAATTGGAAGATAAAGAAGAAGTCCAAACGTTGCAGAAACTGTTCAGCTCAGAATTCTTAATATCGCCAATCCATACTACAACGATATTATCATGTGGACAAGATATATAGACGATATACTTATTTTCGTAAAAGATGAGCTTCAATTTCCTAACTTACATGACTACATAAATGGAGTTCACCCTAAAATACAATTTACCATCGAAGCAGAACAGAACAATAAACTCAACTTTCTAGACTTTACTCTAACGAGAATGGACAGTTCAATTAAGTTTGAAATTTTCAGAAAGCCATTACAGACTGACTCTACTAGGCTCTTCATACATTTACAGAGTTCTTGACTCACGAAAACTTTCAGAGAGAAATACAAATAATTCATTCCCAATAAAACTTATCAACAAAACAATAATGAAGATGCAGGAAAAACATAATAAACAACATCACAACACTGACAGACAGCACATCCCAAAACAACAAAATATATAGATCCATAACATTTCCAGGACATCTGGAGATTCAAATATCGTTTAAATCCAAAAACACAATTAAAAACTTGTTATGTAATCATCAGGGCACAGAACTTTTGTAACAAAACGATACGATTTCCCCCCTCCACTCGTTCTCAGAAAATCTTGATTAAAAGAACAGCATACTGTTCAGTGGGAAATTAAAATTTCAAGTTAGCAAAAAATTGTGTTAACAAAAATTGTTCCTGAAACAATTCNCCAAATAACCCATCAAAATACATTTTTGAACGCGCAAAGTACCTATTCAAAGTGATTTTAGGTCCCACGAAAAGATTTTTACTCCACAAATGTATCAAAGAAGTTTTTATCGAAACATAACCTCACTTTTTTTATTACGAATTTGGGGCGATTCATCAAAATAAAGTTGTAAGTTCATTAATTATATAATTTATGAATTGGTCGGTTAAAACTTTTACTATTTCTAAGTATTTTTAGAATCAATTTTGTTCCTTTACTTTTTTAGGAAAAAACTTGGAATTAATAAATGCGAAATTGGTTTGTATCGGATATTTTCTTCATGTTACACCTCAATTGGGTCATCTTTACGCTGGGATTTAGTAAGATAAGTAAGTAAAATATACCTTAAGAATAAATATTAGAAAAAAAATAAATAAATAAATTAACGCCATCTAGTGACAGTTCTCCATATTACTAGTATTTTGACATTTCAAAACCACCGTTTGTATTCATTCTTAAAATCATCAAATTTTACAAAAACTAAGTTTAATAGCACCAAATAACCCATCAAAATACATTTTTGAATGCGCAAAGTACCTATTCAAAGTGATTTTAGGTCCCACGAAAAGATTTTTACTCCACAAATGTATCAAAGAAGTTTTTATCGAAACATAACCTCACTTTTTTTATTGAGAATTTGGGGCGATTCATCAAAATAAAGTTGTAAGTTCATTAATTATATAATTTATGAATTTGTCGGTTAAAACTTTTACTATTTCTAAGAATTTTTAGANATAAATTGTTAGAAAATATCTAAACTTAATGGTGAAATGGATAATCAAATTAATCATAAAAAGAAATAGCTTTGAAAAATTACACTGTGTAAACATGACTTTTCATTTTACTCCTCCCAATTAAAAAATAGAGTATAATAACTTAATTAATCACCAATTATATTAACTTACTGTTTTGTTGATGTGGTTTTGTTCGGGTTCATCAACCCCATTCGTTCGATAAATCCCAGAATCGGTGTTTTCGTTTTCATTTTCACAATTATCAATCAAATCCTCTTTCATTTTTAAATCGTCGTTTTCAATTAACACCCCGCTTTTCTAAAAAAATTCTAATTAATCGACACCAACATTTTAAACGTTTATTTACCCTCAATTCTTTAGTGGCTAAAATCATTTCCAAATCGTCCAGTTTCTTTTTCTCCTCGAACAAAGCCGTCGTTAACGATTGGATTTTTTGTTCTTTACTCAAAATTTCTTCCTCCCGCTTTTTACGATCTTCAGACATATTTTGTGTAAACAACTAACAAAAAATTAAAATTACTTGAATCAAATCAATTTATTTAAAAATAAAATTTAACATAACCTTAAACGTCAAATTTGACATTTAGAAAATAAATTTTTTTTTAATAACATAACCTCAAATAAATTAATGTCAAATTTGACATTTATATTTAAAATTTAATTACCTGAAATTCTTTTTGTACTTTCTCCAAATTTTCTCTAGCTAACATCGATTCTTGTTCGGCTGTGGCTCGAGCTCTTTGATGTTCCGCCTCGGTACACAAAATATTAAGTTGATCGGCTAAAAGTTTCGAAATCGATTCTTTCGCCGCTTCTTGATATGCCATTTTATCTTCCTACAATTATTTTATTACAAATTATTCATTTTTTTAAATTAAAAACTAACATAAATCTTTTGTAGCTCTTCTTTAACGCGATCTCCCCCAGAATTCTTCCCAACTTGACTTAATTGTTCCTCTAAAGCTGCCACGCGCGATAATAACCGTTCTTCTCCGATATAAACGCGCCAACTTTCGTCGGCCGATCTCCGGGCTTCGTCTACGATATGTTGTAAGGCGAGTAATTTCGTTTCGAGGCATTGTTCTCGCTGTGACGCCTCTTGTATTATTTGATTTAGTTCATAAAGGTCTTCTAAAGGTACGGTTCCTTAATTAATTTAAAAAAGAAAATCATTTTAATGTAAGAATAACTTTTTTATATGTAACAAACCTTGTCTATTGTTATCAACTAAACTAGGGCTGGCTTTAGCTTCTTTTCCATCTGGCAAATAAAGCTTTAAAGCGGCTATAATACACCCATGGGTTACCTTACGATTGCTATTTTCTACAACATCCACTCCAAATTGTACAATATCGCCAGAACTAACCTCTTGTGATTCAGAATCTTTTGAAGATAATCGATTATTATTTACAAACGTTCCATTACTGCTTTTTGTATCCTAAAACATTCAAATTAATCACCAATTTTACACCAATTTAAAAAGTATTAAGTACTTGTAAATAAAACTTTCCACAGGAATACCATAAAACAGCATGATGTCTTGACAATACTTTACAATCGAAAATAGCGTTTGTCTGAGTTGCTTTCGCCCTAGCTACAGATCGTCCCACCTTCACAGGTTGATCCAAACATAAAGTACGATCTTGGAACGGATGTGAATTGGGGCGACAGATCAACACAGCCTTCGCACTCATATTGCCCGCTGTTGGTACTACCATTTCGTTATTGGTGTTATTGTGTTTCGATGTACATTTTTCAACTCATAATGTTAGTATTCCTAAATAGAACAATAAAAGAATTAAAGAGAACAACACCCCACAAATGAAAAACTTTTGACGACGTTTATGATACGTACACGAGGCGTATGAGGGCCGAAATTAATGCGGGCGGATTTAGTGGTGATAAACGGGGATACAACACTTTAAAAAACTTGATGGAAATAACAATCAGTTACGATAATTGCTGAATAACACGCGGATATGTCAAAAATAGTAGGTAACCAACCCAGTGAAATTAGAACGGGAATTTTAAAAATAAATCAGGTGTTTTTTTTAATCGTTACATGTTTACGCGTTGGGTGTGACTTTTATAAAATCATTTTGAATATGGGATTAATTAATTAAGCGTTGAGTAATTATTTATTTTTATTTTAATGTTTATTGGGGAAATTCCTAACTTACCGACGTCGATTTATTATTAATTTCGCCCCGATTACATAACCAATTTTATTTCAATTATAATTTTATTAATTCACTAAAATTAAATCTTAATTATTTTCAATATAAATACGATTCATTAATTTAATTACCTCATTATTTTTTTTGTGATGTTTACAGACATACAGGAATGAAGTTTACTACCTTACCTATTTTCAGATGTGTGCGCCATCTCAGGGGACTATCTCCAATTAATAGCACAGTTTTTAACCATGTTTGAGATTTGCTAAACTCCGTATAAAAAAAACATAATAAAATGTTTAAATAGTTTTAATCCTGCTAAATTTAATGTTGAGTGCAATCGACGATGATAGGATGATGTGTCACATCGATCTTACAAAAAAAAATTTCCCCCACAAATTTTTACAAACTTTTTAATTAATAAATGCGAAATTGGCTTGAATTAGATATTATCTTCATGTTATACCACAATTTGATCATTTTTACATCAGGATTTAGTAAAATAATTAAGTAAAACATAACTTAAGAACGAATATTAAAATAAATAAATTAACGCCATCTAGGGACAATCCTCCATATTACTAGTATTTTGACATTTCAAAACCATCGTTTGTTTGTATTCATTCTTAAAATCATCAAATTTTACAAAAAATAAGTTTAATAGCACCAAATAACCCATCAAAATACATTTTTGAACGTGCAAAGTACCTATTCAAAGTGATTTTAGATCCCACGAAAAGATTTTTACTCCACAAGTGTATCAAAGAAGTTTTTATCGAAACATAACCTCACTTTTTTTATTGAGAATTTGGGGCGATTCATCAAAATAAAGTTGTAAGTTCATTAATTATATAATTTATGAATTTGTCGGTTAAAACTTTTACTATTTCTAAGTATTTTTAGAATCAATTTTGTTCATTTACTTTTTTAGGAAAAAACTTGGAATTAATAAATGCGAAATTGGTTTGTATCGGATATTTTCTTCATGTTACACCTCAATTGGATCATCTTTACGCCGGGATTTAGTAAGATAAGTAAGTAAAACATAACTTAAGAATAAATATTAAAAAAAAATAAATAAATTAACGCCATCTAGTGACAGTTCTCCATATTATAGTATTTTGACATTTCAAAACCACCGTTTGTATTCATTCTTAAAATCATCAAATTTTACAAAAAATAAGTTTAATTGTGCCAAATAACCCATCAAAATACATTTTTGAACGCGCAAAGTACCTATTCAAAGTGATTTTAGGTCCCACGAAAAGATTTTTACTCCACAAATGTATCAAAGAAGTTTTTATCGAAACATAACCTCACTTTTTTGGGATGATTCATTAAAATAAAGTCGTAAGTCCATTAATTATAATAATAACATTTAAAAGCTTTTAATTAATCTCAATTAATCCTCAATTAATATCAGGCTGAGCGTATATTGTCAAGATTTGACAAAATGATGTAAAATCACGATTTCATCTAATGTTTACATTCTCCAAGTTATCTCGATATTTACACATTTTAGAGCAAAAATATAAAAGAGCAATATTGTTAAGAATAGAATTAGCTACAACTTTTATACTAAAACTTTTTTTCTAAAACGTTCCGATTACGTATTGAAGAAGTTATAATATTAAACTTCACGTTAATAAATGACATATCTAATCAAAAAAATTTTAACGTTCAATTTACTTATAATAACTTTGCATTTAGAAATTGTAAGCGGCGATCTTGATTTGGTAATTTTTCATACGAGTGATGCCCACGCTCGATACGAAGCGAGGTTGGACTCAATAACCGGAAAATATTTCGGCGGGGTAGCCAGAGTTGCTTATACAATTAAAGCGGCAAGAAAAAAATATAAGGAAGGTGATGGGCCGCCAATTTTATATCTCGAAGCTGGGAATATGTTCACCGGAAGCATTTGGTTTTTGGTTCATTCATATGAAGGAGTGGCAAAAATTTTAAACGAATTACAACCCGATGCTTTTGTAAGTTAAAATTTTAAATGTTATCCCAATAACGGTATTTTCGTAGAACATCGGTGCTCATGAATTCGACCTAAAAATCGAGGGGTTAACAAATTTTACAAAACTCGTTAATTTTCCTTTAATTAACACCAACATAAGATGGAACGATGAAGTTGAACCAAAAAAAAAAATTAAATCTTCAATTATTAAGGTTATTGATGGTGTTAAAGTGGGAATCGTTGGGTATCTTCGTTCTGAATTAATACTTTGGGCGGAAAAAGGAAGCATCGACGTCCTCGACATCATAACGGAACTAAAAAAAGAATGTAACCGATTAACTTACGAAGAAGACGTGAAGGTGATCATCGCTTTAGGGCAGGCTCATTTCGACACCGACATAATAATAGCTTATGCGGTTGAACAGATTGATTTGATCGTTGGGGGTGGCTCAAATACATTCTTATATAACGGCATTCCACCAGATACAGAAATTCCTATTGAGTCGTACCCCACAACAGTCACAAGAAGAGATGGTAGCTTAGCCTTAATCATCCACGCTTATCATTCATTAAAATACATCGGAAAATTGAATCTCCGATTTACAGAGGATGGACTAATCAAAGGATTTTATGGATCTCCAATATTATTGGATGCGAATATCTCGGAGGATCCGGAAATGACGGAATTAGTCGACGAAATGAAAACAAGTATTTTAGCTTTCGATCAACGGTTTTTATCAAATTGTCACGTTTATTTAGATGGCACAACCTGTCAATATCAAGAATGCAATTTTGGAAATCTCGTTGTGGATGCCTTCGTTGAGTATAGAGCGAAACAATATCAAGGTCCCGGATGGACGGACGCCGCTGTTGCGTTAATGAACAGCGATTCTTTAATTTCAGACATAAACGCCCCAAAAAATGGTAACAAAATATATTACGGCGATGTAATGAGAGCGTTACCGTATTCGGAAATAATTTACATAGTTGAAATTAAAGGAGCCGATCTTTTAGGTATTCTAGAAATTAGCACGGCTCATTTAGACCTGTTAAGATCAAAAAAGGGTGATATGCTTTTAACGGCCGGCTTAAAGATTATGTTTGACTTAGAGAGTCGTTTTGGAGAAAGAGTTAAATTGGTTAAGGTTAGATGCGGTGAATGTGACGTCCCGGAATATTTTCTTTTAGAATTAGAAAAACGCTACAAAGTGATTATCACCAGTTATTTATTGAAAGGTGATGGTGTTTTTACGATTATTCGAGATGTTGTTTGGAATCCGATTCCGATTGGGAAAAGAGATGTGGGTATCATGATTGATTATCTTCAAAGAGCTAGTTATATTATTCCGGAAGTGGGTGGGAGATTACTACCATATGATAGGCGATTACTTCAAGTTAAATCTAATTGTTTTAGTTTTCGAAATAATTTTAGTTATTTTCTTTTACTTTTAACACTGATGATAACATAAAAAAGATAGGTTATGATGTCTCTATTATAGTTTTTTTCCCCCCGTTGTGTTGTATATATTAGAGCTATTAAGGACTATTAATTAATGTTATTTAAATCAAAAATCAATCATTAAGTGCCATTATCTGTTTACTTTTTAATTTATTCAATAACTTACTCAAATAAATGAGATTTATTTATTTTTATCTTGACAGTCGAAAAAATGATGGTAAATTTTTTATGAAGGAACCTACATAGGCCGTGCGACTACAAACATGTGCATTTACAAATTGTAAATATTATAAATAATGAGGATAAAATGAATGTGTAAAACGTATAACGTAGCCGTTTTAATAAATTTACGAAAAATATTAACAAAATTAAATGATGTAAAACACGTTGAAAGACTAACTTATGAATGTATCGTTTCGTTCTTATTTTTATTGCGTACAGAAGGCATGTAATGTGTATAAATCAATATAGTTTATAATAGAGATATTATTTAGTTCCTTTTTTTTCTAACTTCTATAATATATATAAATATTAAATAAATTTAATTTTCAAAAAATCAGCGACATCTATTACTCAATAGCTTAAGTTTTCGCTTTAATCATGGTTCTCAACTTGACTAATCGCATTAGTTCAACTAATGAATAAAAGATGTCGCTCGACGTCATTTAAAAATTATTTTGAGATGGTTTGCTTCTCGGCTAAGTAAAAAATTATACCGGGTGATTCAAATAAAAAGAAAACTTTGCGAGAAAATCGCGTTTTAATTCATTTTATTTGGATCACCCGGTATAATTTTTTACTTAGCCGAGTTTCGAACCTTTAAAAATTCGTTTTTAACTTGACTAGTTTCACTAATGAAAAAAAGATGGCGCTAGCGGTCATTTAAAAATTATTTCGAGATGGTTTGCTTCTCCGCTAAGCAAAAAATTATACCGGGTGATCCAAATATAGAGAAATTTTTGCGAGAAAAACGCGATTTAATAAATTTTATTTGGATCACCCGGTATAATTTTTTACTTAGCCGAGTTTCGAACCTTTCAAAATTCGTTGGTAACTTGACTAGTTTCACTAATGAGAAAAAGATGGCGCTAGTGGTCATTTAAAAATTATTTCGAAATGGTTTGCTTCTCCGCTAAGCAAAAAATTATACCGGGTGATCCAAATATAGAGAAATTTTTGCGAGAAAAACGCGATTTAATAAATTTTATTTGTATCACCCGGTATAATTTTTTACTTAGCCGAGTTTCGAACCTTTAGAAATTCGTTTTTAACTTAACTAGTTTCACTAATGAAAAAAAGATGGCGCTAGTGGTCATTTAAAAATTATTTTGAGATGGGTTGCTTCTCGGCTAAGTAAAAAATTATACCGGGTGATTCAAATAAAAAGAACATTTTGCGAGAAAATCCCGTTTTAATTCATTTTATTTGGATCACCCGGTATAATTTTTTACTTAGCCGAGTTTCGAACCTTCAAAAAATTCGTTAGTAACTTGNTTCTAAACAAACTTTGTCAACAATTTTTTTTGATTTAATCAATAATTAAGGAGATAACCTCAAAATAATAATTTTTACGTTTTTATACATAATTATACTCAGACGCTTAATTAATAGAGATGTAAAAATTTTTTATTAAGATAATTGATTCAAAATCGAAATTGAAACAAATTTTATTTAAAACATTTTTTAATCAAAACAATAATTGTTGAGATAATTAATTTTGTTAGCATACTATTCAGAGGGAAATTAAAATTTCAAGTTAGCAAAAAATTGTGTAACTAAACAAATATTGTTAATAAAAATTATTGATTTGATCAATAATTAAGAACATAACCTCAAAAAACGTTTATATATATTTTTTTTTTATTGATAAAATCGTTTTAAAATTTAATTTAGAACAATTTTTGTATGAAATTTTCTGCTGAGAACGAGTGGAGGAGGGAAATCGTATCGTTTTGTTACAACATAATGCTAAAAAATGGAGTCTATCCATTACAGTGTGATAGCTGAACACAAAAACAGTGACAAATCTAATTTTGGAAAACACTTGATGTTTTCAAATCATGATTTTGACGTAAAGAACGTTAAATTACTTCACCATACAACAAAAGGAAACTTACTAGAAATAGTTGAATCTTACGAAATTAATAAATTCATTAAGTGTAACCCCAACACTGTTAATCTTAATCAACAGATCATACCAATTAAGAGACCTTTTTAAAGAGATAAAACTTCATCAATGTGTCTAACTTGAAACTTAAGACAAAAGATTATATTTATTGTTCAGTTAGTGAGATTTGAATTCGGTTTTTAAATTTTTTAAATTTTCGAAATTGTTGTTTGTGTTGCAGCGACATCTAGTTTTGTTAATTCTTACTTATTATTTGGCTAGTTTTAGATTATTACCAGTGTATGGTGTTATGTTAATTTTCCCATGCCGGGTGTACCTTTTTGTAATGACTGTGGTTTTGTTAATTGATGTTTGTGGGGGTCTAATATCTGCTGATGAAGAGCATGTGCTCGAAACTAGTATAGATGAATAAATTGTTAAAAAAATATCACTT